GGCTGACTGCAGTTGACAGCGCACTTGGCAGCAACCCTGGCACCATCTATGTGGGTGCAACGATGTGCCTCAGGTCTTAGCCCCGGCCTGAGGACTCACTGGTAGCTAATAGTCCTGCTCAAGCTGAGGCCTCAAGGCCATAGAGAAATGAATCCTCATTTTTATATCTGCCTTCTCTAAGGAATCAAGGTGTTCAAACTGGGGCTTCTCAGTGCCTCGCTTTAAGAGCTGCTGCGCTGGTGCAGGCCCCTGACCTCCTCGCTCCCGTTGCAGGGTGTTTGACCACTCTAATGAAGGGTTCAAGGGCTGGGAGTTCATGACCGTCCACTGCTGGGGGGAGAAGGCAGCGGGGGAATGGACCCTGGAGATCCACGACACGCCGTCTCAAGTGCGCAACCCCGCGGCACAAGGTAAGCACACGTTTGCAGGGCGCTCGGGTCCCCCAGAGATCTCACTTCGTGTGGCCATAACTTTGCGGTGGCTCTTATGGCTCAGGTGTTCTGCAAAACATTATTGCCCAGATTTTCAAAAGCAGCTGTATTAAATAGAGCCCTAGGACCTGGAAGAAACCCCGTGCTCCGGAGGGGCTGGTGGTCCAGCTAAGCACGGAGCCTGGGACGGGTTTTCTCCCGATGGCGAATTTGCTGCCACGGAGAGCAAGGTTTCCAAAATTAAAGTGTAATGAGTCAAAAGGAGGAAACCCAAGAGCTGTAATTTTTGTTTGTTTGTGTTGCTTTGCTGCTGGAACATCTGCAGTGTGGGCAGGGTTGAGCAGCGTCGCAAAGAGAAGATGCCCCTTGGGCTGCGGACGGACATCCTGATCTCCCGGCTGCCACCGCGCTGGCAGGGGGTTATTGTCCCTGGCCTGACCCCCTGTTTGTCACCAGCTCTGCCATCCCCCTGTGCCTGTCGGCGTGCTCTCTAACCCCTTCCCATGCAGAGGAGCCGGGCTGGCGCAATCTGTCCCCCTCGTCCTGCTGGAAAGGGGCGGCTGCCTCACGCAATGGTGGCAGCGAGGCATGAAGGATACTGCCTTGGGCTAGTGTGAGTTGTGGGGGTGTTAAAATCCAAATGATCGTAGAGAGAAAGCCAGAAGTGTATTAAAAATTTCTCCCACGCAACTTTCTGGCAGTAGGCACATGTGGGGGTTAATTGTGCAGGAAGGTATTTCTGTTCTTTGCCTTAACCTGAAATCTTTTGAACTAGGAGTAGTAGTAGAGAAAAGCCCACAGAGCTGCTTTTCCCCCCCCCTGTATTTACGGTTTTTGGCTGACACTTCTGCAAAAAGGCAAATCACACCCCTGCGGGGCAGCACGCGCGCAGAGCTCCGGGTTGGAGCCATTGGCCCTGGAGCCATGGAGACCTTTCCAGGGAGGAAAGGGGCTGCTTTGCAGGGCAAAGTGAAATGATGGTGCATGGAGGAGACTAGAGATCAGGGCAGAAAATGGTGCGCTAAGACAAATTGTTTCACCTATGATTTAATAATTAATTATATGAGATAAAGCTAATTGTGACCTATTCCCGCTGCCTTGCTGGTCGGGCAGTGTGATTGTTTACTAGGGCCTGGCCTTGCCTGGGTTTTCAACAATTTGTTCAGCAAATGAAAATTAGCGTGTTGAATTGTTCCATTAAAGAGCCTGCAACTTGCTTAAAGCAGAGAGGGAAAAACAGGAGGGAAAAGAGGGAAAAAGAGGAAAGCGAGGGAGGGTGTTCTCAGCAAGCAGCACGCTGGTGCAAGCTGGAGCAGTAGGCAAAGCTTTGACCTGGGAGCCCGCGTGCCGGGCACAGCTCCTGCGCAGGGCTGTTGCACAAAGCGCTGCGGCCGCGGCACATATTTTCTCTTCTCCCAGCATTTACAGCCCTGTGGGGAGATGACATTTACAGGCGCTCGGATGTTATGGTTGGGAGGCCTCACCTTCCCTTGTGAGTCTTCAATTCTCCTCTTTCCTGGATTTCTGGCCTGTCTGCTACATCCACATGGCCTGAAAAGCTGTTAATGATGTTTAGGGCGTTTCTTTTTTTTCCCCTCTCTGCTGACACAAAAGGAGACAGTGTCCTCAGAAACTTGTGCTCTGACTACCGGTGCAGTTCAAATGCAGAATCGCCTTAAATACCCTTAATCCTGCTATCATTAACCCCCCATAGTCAGATAACAGACAATGCCTTGGCTTTCTGCTGCTTACCAGCACGACAGAATAAGGCCCCGTGAAAATTTACCCGTTCTTTCCCGTGGGGCCCCGAGCCGCTCCGTCGCAGGCTCCCGCGCTGCCTGGCCCGGGCTAAGGGCAGGCTGTGGTTCGCCCTCCCTTGCACCCCGTAGCCGCTGGCATCCCTTCACCAAGGCCGAGCAGCTCCGTGCCTGGTATCAGGCAGGCACAGCCAGGCCTAGGCTTGGCCCCTCTCCCCGAGAGGGTCTCAGCTGCGCTACACACCGCTCAAGGCGACAAAACGCCCCAATGCTTTAGAGTAAATTTGTTCTCTTGGCTGGAGGCTTATGGCTGAACCCTTCCCAATTAAAACTGCCCGAGCTTTCCTGTACAATGTTTGCAGGCTCCACACGGTCAATACGCACTTTAAATGCTTAAGCAGGTGGATCCTTTCAGTTCTTTCCAAGTGTAGCCTAAAGAAACTTAGGGCACAGAGAGCCAAGATATTTGAGAGTTTGAAATGTTAAGCCCTTCCTGGAAACTTAGGGATTAGTAGTGAAAACCAAATGCACCGCAGGCTTGCAATAACTTGCTTTCCAAAGCATTGATTGGGAATTAAGACAAAAAAAAAACAGTGTTGAAAAGAAGCAGTGGCATTGTATGGATCAGGTGGCAGAGCACCCCCCTTGCTCCCCCTGCCTTGCACAGGGCAGCAGAGGACACTCATGCAAAGCCATCTCCCACGGCTTGCACCCTTCCCTGGGCTGGGTGTGAGTCAGGCTCTCTCCAAGCATGGAATTACCCTCGCGGAGCTCAGGCCTCCTGCCGCAAGCGCACAGATCGGCCATCGCAGGTCCTCCCAGAGGTGCACCCAGCCTTAGCTTGGCTTCGAGGATGAGGAGGGTGAGCATGTGTTTCTCACGCCTGCAGCGCAGCAACTGCCCGTCCCAGCAGCGGCAGGAACCCACAGCACGTTTCCGCTCCATGGACGTGTCCGGTTGTGCTTTGGCCACACGTGGACACAGAGGAGCAGCTCCTCGTTTGGGCAAGACGTGGCCCCCAGCCGGCCCTCCTGCCTTTTGCTCTGGGGTGTACAAAATGCCCTGGGGTCTGTGCGGGCTCCCCGAGGCATGGCCGTGGGGTGTAACCCAGGCAGCTTTCGGGCGTAGTGGTCCCTGCTTGTGCCCCACTGTGTTTTGGGCAATGCAGCGCTTGCACCTCTTAATGCCGGGGGGAGGTTGTTGGTGTTGAGGAGTCTCTGGAGAGCACAGCTAAAAATAATCTCATCCTGTGTGCCGGGCCTGCTTTTATCAGTTGGAAATAATCCTCCAGGTCTTAAATTGCAGCTTTTAAAGTTAATGGCTCTCTCTGTACTTTGGGCATTAAGTATATGGTAGCTCTGCGATTTATCAGACAAGAGTTACAGCATTAGAAAAGCCCTCATACCTGCCTTAAACTGTTGCCGTAGTTCAGCCTGAGAGCTCAGTGGGCTAGTGAAGATTTGTGGTTTTACGTGGTTCACTTCTTTATTGTCGTGCAAACGGATAAGCCCTGATATACCTGCCAGGAGGTACGTGGTCCATGGTCCGTGCCCTCCTCGCTCTTTATCCTCTTGCTGCTCTCTGTTCCTACTACAGCCTCCCTCGGTTTACCCCAAAACGCTGCTTCACTCCCAAGTCCTCTGCGTCTCTGCTTCTCCGGGGAGGAGAGAGAGGTTGCTGCTCCCGCGGGCCGTGAGTGGCACAGGGAAGCGTGGTGGGTTTCTCATGGCTTTGCATCTACCGCAGGGAAGCTGAAGGAATGGAGCCTCCTTTTCTACGGGACAGCCGAGCACCCCTACAACACGCTCAGCTCCCACCACTCCCGCTCGAGGATGCTCGAGATCTCGGCCTCGGAGATGGAGCCATCGAAGGTCGCCCTCCTCCAGAGCCAGATGGAGATTGTGGAGGAGGAGGAGGAGTACACAGGTAAATGCTGATGGGGCCAGCGGTTCCCGCAGCACAGGGGGTGCCCCGCTGCAGACTATCGCAAGCTGGGGAAATGCAAGCCAGGAAAAACTCGGGGCTGCTCTGCAGACAGGGAGGGAAAGTCAGTATATTTTTTCCTGTGGTCTTATAAATTATGGTGAGAAGGAACAAGTATTAATGGGTGCTTGGGTAGGTTTTGAAAAGCTACAGGCCATGGGCAGTGAGAAGCGTAGATTTGCAGGGGATGGATGTGCCAGCTTTTGGGACAGAGAAGCGCTCCCTGTTGCCCCACAGCCCTCTGGGGCTCCTCTCTACATCATCTTTCTCAGTGCTGAGCAGCAGCCCAAATCTCAGCTGGTCGGGGAGGGGACGGCCACACCAAGCCGGATCATCTGCCCATTCAGCACTTTGCCACACGCTAGCTCAGCACAGCGCCCAGGTCACAGTCGCTCTCGCGCTGGGTACTGGCACCGAAAGGCCCCCAGCGAGAGGAGGAAGCCGGTGACCTCCCCATCGCAGCACCGGGCGAAGAAGCAAGCCCGGGCAGGGTGCAGCTAAATCCCGCAGTCCTGCAGGCACCATGTCGGGGCCCCAAACCCTCCACTCCAGGTCTTGCCACGGCCGAGCATCCTGGTTGCTATTCCTGGGCCCAGTGGCCAGGTTTCTGTTTGGATGCGGTGTGTTTAGCAGGAGCCAGGCGTTAGGCTGCGGGCAGTTAAACGGTGCAGGCTGCGAGAGCAGGAAGGGCTGATCCAGCGCTGCAGCTCCCCTCCCCGCTTCTGCAGCGTGCGCGGTAGGAGAGCGGAGGCAGGATTTGGGACAAGCGCGCTGCAAGCTGGCCACGTCCGGCGCCGCCAGCCCCTGCGCTGCCTGCAGCCGGAGGGACCGCAGCGAGCGGTGAAATTAGAAGCTAGCAAAACACCCCGTTCCGGCGCTGCTACCGCAAATTGGTGGTGAAGACATCTGGGGATTAAAAAAAGATCCTCTGCCTACCTCCCCCACCGGACGCAGGGAGATGAGGGAAGCTCCGGGGCCGGCTGTAAAGCCACCCGCGGCCGCGCCAGCGGGAGCCCGGGGGGAGGCTGGCTCCTCACACTGCACCAGAGTGGACGCGGAGAAAGTCCTGGAGCAGTCGGCCGGGACCAGCGCCCGGGCTGAATGAGGACGAGGAGCGTTGGACCAACCCCAGGCAGAGGCAGAAAACAGCGGCCAAAATCCTCTCTCGAGTGAGGAGTTTGTCGTTGGCTTTCACGAGGCG